GGGTGCGGCAGGGTCGCCGCGATGTGGCTCAAGCCCGAGGAGGTGTTGCTGAAGAACGCGCTGAAGCTCTGGGTGACCCAGAAGAGCAGCTGCTACTTCATCCTGCAGCGGCGCCGCGGGCACGGCGAGGGGGGCGGCCGCCTCACCGGTAAGAGCGCGTTGGGGTGGCTCGGCCCGGGCCTCTCCCCGCCGGCCCGGCCGCGGCGCAGGTGGCGGCTTCGCCCGGGCCGAGGTGGCCCTGCCTCGGCTTGCTTTTCTTTCTCCTGCGTTCCTCCTGCAGCTCCCGTCGGTGTTGGTCTCGGGGACTCGCGGGCTGGTGCCTTTCTCCAGGCGAGGCAGGTGCCACCTGGCCCGGGAGCACCTGGAGGACGTACCTGGTCCGCGAACTCGGGGAACGCAGGCTCTGGAGCTCGCCCGGAGGCAGCCCCGGGTGGGGATGGGCCGCTGTGCCGGGCCAGTTGCCCCAGGGTGCTCCTGGGCAGGCCCCGACTCTGCCATCTGGACGCAGCGGGAGCTCCAGGTGGTTTCGCGGCTGGGGACCTGAGGCCAGCCGGTGACGATGGGCAGCTCGGCAGGCCCCAGAGATTCTGGACTTGCTCACTCCGGAGGCAGAAACCATCTCCGCTCCAAGGGGAAACTGAGGCAATACAGTTCTAAGCTTGTGATCTTCATAGCAGAGTTGAGCAATGTCAGTTTTTTTTTTTTTTTTCCTTCTCTTTTCAGTGGCTTCTAAGGAACGATAGGTCAAAAACCCTCAGTCTTTGAAGTTGATGAAAAACAAGGTATCCCCCCCCCCCAAAAAAAAGTGATGATCCAAAGCTTTTAGAAATTGGGGCCAGTTTGCATTAGCTGGAGCTCCTGTTTAAGTGGATCAATGGAGAACTGCTATATTAAATCTGGGGTATCTAAATGAAACTTTCAGATAAGGAACCGGAATAACAGGGACTTTAATGATCCTGTCACAGCCTTCTGTGGAAGAAGGGGGCTGGGGGAATCAGAGGACCAAAATTGTGTGCTCAGGTTAATTAACTGTTGGTGATTGCCTACTCTTGAGCCAATCTGGGGAGGGCCCTCTGGGAATAGTCTGTTGGGGAAACTGAGGACTGTGCCACTAAAACCGCAGAACCAAGCGCTACACTTTAGCTTTAGAGAAAGCTGGCAGTTGGGTTTGTTGGAGTGACTTCCCTGGAACCTCAAGAGTGAGAATTTTCAGGGTTCTAGGTAGGAAGGAGTGGTAGACAGTGGAGGGTTCTGAACTGGGCAGCTGGGTGACCATTAGGCCTGGTGAGCAGCAGGGACAACTTGGGCAGCAGGTGAGCTTAGTGGGAGGAGTTACTAGAGGAGGGTGGAGGCCACTGGGTCCTCTGTGAGCCCCAGAGCAGCACAGTGGGCCTTGGTTCTGGACCAGGGAGTAAGAGCTTGATAGAACCCTGAAAGTTGCAGCAGAGGCCAAGAGGCTGGAGAGGGATGGGTGAGGAGAACACTGAGGATAGTGGCTGTGGCTGAACATTTATGATACTTTAAACAGGCTATCTGGGCTGTACATGGTCTCCTGTAGTAGAAGGGCTTGGAGACTTGTGAAATGGAACCCTAAGGAGAGTTTGTCCCCAAACACTGTCATCTACTGTCCATCTGTCTGTCCACCCACTTAGTTCATTGACCATGTGCCATGTTCCATGGGCTGCTTTGGGAAAGAACCACTGGAGCAAGTGAGCAAAGGCCTGCATGCAACCTTCAGATTACTTGATGTCTAGTAGAGTCCAGACATAGAGGGCAAAGCTGCCCATTGTACCAGGGGCGCTTCAGGCCAGCTTTCCTTGTGGAGACTTTATGACTCAGGTGTCCAAAGTCCGTTTGTAATGAATTCAGAGTTCTGTGGCCACCTTCCAGCTGTAGGTCTCATGTTGTAATACCTGTGGCCTTGGTCTCCCTTGTTTCTTCTGCTTGAACTAATGAGTATTCAGAAATTTTTCTCTTTCTTTCCCTCCCTCCCTTTGCCTTTGAGACAAGATCTGAAACCATAGCCTAGACTGGCCTCAAATTCATGCTCCTTTTGCCTCAGCTCAAAATTTTCATAAAGGTAGTAAGATAAACAGAAAAAGGGGAAAGCCCACAAAGAGAAGGCACATTATTTCTGAGAGATCTAGAACCTCTTGTTGATTGTACAAGGATGACATCTCTGTAGCTTGACACTTGACCTTTGAACATTTAGCTCCCAGCAAATGACAGGGATTGAGTAGCCCAGACTTAGCATAATGTCTTTGAGCTGGGCTTCACAGGTCCACTTTGAAGGTTGTAGTTGGGACTGACAGGGCACTAGGGCAGCTCTGTTTTGGTTGTTGGTGGAAAATGTATAAGTCAAATCCGGCAGAATTTAGTGTTGTAAGAGCTTAAGAGAGCTGGGCACACCTTTCATCCCAGCACTTGGGAGGCAGAGGCAGGGATCTCTGTGAGTTTAAGGCCAGCCTGGTCTACAAAGTGAGTTCCAGGCCAGCTGGGGCTATAAAGAGACCCTTTCTCAAAAAGACCAAAAAAAAAAAAAAAGATGGGGGCTAAAATGACAAGGGTTGGGGAGGATGGCTCTAGACTTTTGTTTGGAGGGAAACCAGTAGATTGGCCAAGAGAGGCTGGAAATAAAAATGAGAGAGTGCAGTAATCTTTTGTTTCGATGCTAAATTTGTAATGAGGTAGTAGGAGTTTAAACATACAAAGGTCAGAGGATTAAAACAATTTGGAGTACCCATCTTCAGCGATACACACACACACACACACACACACACACACACACACACACCCCTTCTATACATCTCCAGTTGTGTTTTTCTCCATAACTTTCACAGTCTCTTCAATCATTTTCTTATTAAATTGCTTGCTTATAGGGCAGATATTTTACCTCTGGTGGTACCTGGTACATAAAGTTTGCTCAGTAAACATCTCTAGGAGGAAGGAATACATGGATAAATACACAGAGTGTGTCCCCCCTTTTTGTTGCTGAAAGTTGGGTGGACATCCAGATTGAGGCTGAGCTGATCCTGTTTAGCTGGCAGTCTGACTGCTGTGGGAAGCTGGAGGGGGTGGGTGGGAAACAGAGTTGATGTAGTCCTCTTCCTCCCCCTTTTCCTCTTTTTCTTTGTAGCTTCTGCTTTGGGGATGTGGGGAAGGGTCATGGTACTGACTTTTCAGGTGGTCAGCAAAGGTGAGTAAGACAGTGTTATCCTTACCACCTCCTGGGACCCATTTCTGCTTCCAGGGAGGGGTGACTGGAAAATGAAATCCTGGGCTCTGGGTAGTTCTGGGAAGCTTCCACCTCCTCAGGTTAGAGCACGGTGAGTTCTGTATCTGAGCTGTTTCCAAAGCTCTGCTGACAGAAGCAATTTTGCTACCCTGGGAAGGAAGTAAACTTATAGTGTTCACTTGGATACAGTCTCCAGCTTGTGGGAATAATTCTTAGGAAAGTTCAGTGTGCCCTGGGAGAACAAAGAGCAGAGAAGTGAGCCTGTGGGAGGCAGTGGACAGAGAGCACATATACCATCTCCACCCCTGAAACCCTTAAAGCAGTGGGGATCAATGTAACTCCAAAGCTGGAGTACCCTTGCCCAGATGTGCCCCCGAAAGGATTTTATTTTAGTTTTCAGTATTTGATTCTGTGCATTCCTTTATAATCTTATAATTGTTTTCCCAAAGAGGTACGATATTATAAAGTTACAATTCACTGCATTTGTAGTGGAGGTGGACTGACTGATTCCCTAAACAGGTCAAGGAAAGGATAGGGCAATAGTTGCAAATGGTGGATAATGCTGGCTTTGGCGTCAGGATGAGTCTGTTACCACCCTGGGTTACCTTTATCTAGTTCTTAGAGCTGGAGTTGTAGCCCATTGCTAAGATGGGGCCATGATGAAACTACTTTGGAGGGTTAGAAATGGTCCCACGTCAGGCTTTCCTTGCTTGGTTTCCACCAGCACAAGGAGTCCCATAAAAGAAAGAGTTAGAATTGAGTGGCATATGTCAAGAGCTTACTCATGCTTAGCACCTAATAGTTTTGGAAACAGAGAAGTAATAGTTTTTAGAAAATGAGTATACACTTATAAATGTATAAAGAAGTTTATATTGTGAAAGATGTAAGAGATACACATTTACTTTTTAAAAAGTGTATTTCCTAAGCATTCTCTCTCTTTTAATGTTTTAGTTAAATTTTTTTTTTTTTTGGTCTTTTTGAGACAGGGTCTCCCTGTAGCCCCAGCTGTCCTAGAACTCACTATGTAGACCAGGGTGGCCTTGAACTCACAGAGATCAGCCTGCCTCTGCCTCCCGAGTGCTGGGATTAAAGGCGTGTACCACCATGCCTGGCTAGTTTAAAATTTTTTATGTATATATCTGTGTGAGCGAATGGCATTTGTGTACAGGTACTTTTGGAATCCAAAAGAGGGCATTGGATCCCTTGGAGCTGGAGATACAGGGGGTTGTGAGCTGCCTGATATTGCTGGGAATCAAACCCAGGTCCTCTGCAAGAGCAGTAAGCTCTTTTTTTAAAAAAAATTATTATTATTATTATTATTATTATTATTATTTTATCTTTTTGGTCTCCCTGTAGCTGTGTTCCCCAAGTGCTCTTGGGTGTGGGTCTATCCCTTGGAGTCTGGTCAACCTAACAGGTATCATGCTTGTTAAGGAAACTACTGACTCTCTCCCAGCAGCTATCAACTGCCAGTTGATCCTCATAGGGCTCATGTGTAGGAGTGTATTGCCTGCATGTATGTGAGTGCACCCGTGTCATGCAGTGCTGTGGAGGTCATAAGAGGGCTTCAGATTCCCCTGGAACTGGAGTTAAGGACGGTTTGTAGCTGCTATGTTGGTGCTGGGAATTGAACCCGTGTCCTCAGCAAGAGCAGTCAGTGCTCTTAACTGCTGAGCCATCTCTCCAGCCCGAAGCAGTAAGCTCTCTTAATTGCTGAGGCATCTCTCTAGCTCCTCTCTCTTTCTAAGACAGGGTCTCATTCCATAGACCAGACTTACTTGAAACTCAACTACATAGTCCCAGGTTGGCTCAGATTTTACATTGTATCTCCGTCTATCCAGTGCTGGGATTACCAGAATAAGCTACTATGCCTGGCTTCTTAAATGTATCTTAAAAATTAAACATTTGAAAAC